AAAAAAAAAAAAAAAAAAAACAGATAAAGACTACGACACCAATAAATCTAAAGTATTTATTACGTAAGAAAAAAATTATAAAAGTAAATAATAATAATCTCAAAAAAAGGGAAAGGGACCTCGACAAGCTCCTCCATAGGCCCGGTAACCTCATTGGCGCCAATTTTGAGCCCGGTTCTCGAGTGGGTCCTTCCTCTTCTTCTCTCCGACATTTTTTCACCTTGTGTTCAGTACATGGTCTGCAATCGTCTTGCGCCTTAAGTTGATTTGAGTTACAGTTGAGGGATGATCTTCAACAGTACGTTCAAGTGTTGGTCATTGGAGATGGAGCGTCGGAAGATTTGGCTGTGTCGGGTTTTCGGAATCTGGAAGTCATTGACATGGATCGCATCGAAGTTACAAATCTCAATCCTCAGTTTCTCTTCAGGTTCCAACGATTTTCACGGTTCTATGCGTAGTGTTTTTCTTTTTTTTTCTTTACGTTTCAAGTGTAAAATCTGCACCGGTTCTATGAATTCGATGAATCCTTGTAGGCTTGAAGCTGATACCCATATTTCCATTAGAAGAAACAATTAAACCAAATGATAGATGAGGAAACAAGTAAAATTTCCATTATGTACTCTAGCAGAAACTCCTAGAACTGCTGCTCTTTGTATCGAGTATGCTCTTCTAATCAAATGGGATGAGGTAATATATAAGTTGCTATACTTTTCATTGAGGATTGTGAACGTGCGCCCCTTCTGGAATTTCCAATACCTTTCTTTTAGGTTCATAGTTGAGAAACTTTTGATCCAGATAATTTTGAACACATGAAATGGGTTTACAATGAGGTACACAAATTCCTATAGGGTCTGGAAATTCCTATTAGTGATTTTAAACTTCTACTTGATCTTCCCACATCTATAGGCTGTTAAGAGAGCAGAGCTTTCTTGAATTCCGAGTGTTACATATTCACTAACTCAGGTACATATTAGTCTTGGAATTTTCACTGAACTGATATGTGTTGACGTTTTATTATTATTCTTATTTTGATCTTAACTTGTGATTGTCTTTTAGTGGGTAAATAATAACTGGTTTGTTGTTAGAAATGCATCTATATCTGATTTATATTCTCTAAATGTTGTTTATGGGCGCTGTGAAGAATATCATACCTGCTATTGCTTCCACTAATGCAATTATATCAGCTGCATGTGCACTGGAAACATTGAAGATTGTGTCTGTAACGGCCCAAGCCCACCGCCAGCAGATATTGTCCTCTTTGGAATTTTCCTTTTAGGTTTCTCCTCAAGATTTTTGAAACGTGTCTACTAGGGAAAGGTTTTCACACTCATATAAAGAATGATTCGTTCCTCTCTTCAACCAATGTGGGACCTCACAATCCACTCTCCTTGGAGGCCAGCATCCTCGTTGGCACACCACTGAATGTTTGGCTCTGATACCATTTTGTAACAGTCCAAGCCCACCGCTAATAGATATTGTCATCTTTGGACTTTCCCTTTCGAGCTTCCCCTAAAAAATTTTAAAACGTGTCTGCTATGGAGAGATTTCCACCTTGTAACATCTTTTCTTTTTATTAAGTTTATTAAGTTTTTATGACAAGTTGAAGCTAGGCTTGCGGTGAATGAGACAATTTTCAATGCAACAAATTTCCAAGTGCTAGGCTTGCATTTCTGATAGCCTTTGATACTGTTCCATTACTTCCTTTTATTTATGCACTTAATTTCCAAGTGCATAGAATTTAATGTCAAGTGATCCATTTCCAGATATAATGGTGCCGAAGGTCTCCACACTAAAGTGACAGAGTTTGTAAAAGATAAGGACTTGTCTTGTTTGTGGTCCAGGTGTTCTTATTGAGCTGGATACTTCAATTACTTTACAAAAGGTCGGCTATTTTAGCTTTTATGCCATCTCTACATGTTATATGCAGTATTATGGACATACCGCTATATTCATTTTGTATTTCAATTGTTGCTCTGTTACTAAATTTCAGATGTTGAGAATTCTTTGACGTACACCTAATTTAAATTTTCACGAAACAACAGTTCACGACCTGCTAGAAGATCATCCCTAGCTCTTGTTATCAAAGGAAAGTGTAAGGCATCGAGGGAAGAATCTATCCATGCAGGCACCTCCTGTATCTCAATTTCCAACTTTTTGAATTCAACGTGTGGACATGACCTTTTGGTCGAAGATATATATCTTAACCTATTGAGCTATGCTTACGATATCTCAAGTTGGCATATCAGCTTCACCTTAGAAATATGGGTATCAATTTTGTTGTTGTTGCTGCTGCTTGTATATTGAACACTGTTCTAATAGTCCGAGTTGGGAAGATTTCTTTTATCTAGTTGAGTACAAGAGAGAAGGGAAAACAAAATTTACTGTTTTTACTTTGGCCTTCCTCCCACCCTCCTGTTTTATGTAACACGCTTATAATGAATTCCCTCACCAGCTGGTGATCCCAAATCTGATCTATTTGCTTGTTGAAGACAGGCAATGATAGGAGAAGCCAAGAGGTGTTACTGATATGAACATTTATTGCTATAGTAGAAAGAATGAGCTCTTCCATCTAACACCACCTTGTGAGGCCTCCAATACACAAGAAGTTGGGTAGCAAACATGGAGGGTCCCCCAACCAGCTAGCAAACCGAGTGAAAATCAGTAACTTTACTACTACCACAATTAATAGTTTAGTACTTTGCTCATTTGGGTTCACTGTTAGTAGATGAAAATAGTGATATGGATTTTAATGAGTCGCAATATGTCATGTTCACGCAAGTTGATTGTTGAGGGGATTCGATTCCCTTTCCCTTTTCTGTGTTAAGCTTCTTATGGATTTCCTGAACAGTCTGTCTACGAATTGAGATGTTTGGGTTATAGATAAGGTTTGGATATTTCGACCATAAAAAGATTAATCAGAATCGTTGGCTTATTAAAACTATGAGCCAAACGTTTCTTCGACGTTGTTTATGTTCCTGTAATGCAGCTGGCCCCGCGAAAGAGATGCCCGACGACTGCTGAACTGATGGTCTTAAACAACACACAGATGCACGGATGAGTACCAATGACTTAGCTTAGCTAGTTGAGAGCCTGATAGATCCTCTCCCATGTACGACAATACAGGTAATTTATTGCCTTTTAGAATACATATCAAAGATACATGAGGTTATATTCACATACTCATAAGCAATGAGCTTTGCTTTGACGACCTAAGTCCACCGTTAGTAGATATTGTACTATTTGGATTTTTTCTTTTGAGCTACCCTTCAAGATTTTTAAAAAGTGTCTACTAGGGAGAGTTTTTCACACCTTTATAAAGAATGTTTCGTTCTTCTTCCGACCCCACGTAGCACAAACCCAAGTGGGCTGAAGATCTAAACCAAATTTAGATGGTGGTTTGTGTTCGGAGAAGATTTTTGCCGGCAACCGATCCTCATCTTTTCCCCAACTGGATAACACAATGCAATGATTCTTGTGGGGTCTCTTAAAGTTTTAGACAGATTGGCCAGCTGTGGCTAATGACCCACCATCTCACATGCTCAGCCAATGTGGTTTTGACTCACCCATCACTCCCTTTTCCCCCTTCTAAACTCTATATATCTTCTCTCTCTCGCTTGCTCAGCCAAGTGTGTGCGTGTATAACACTATAAGTTCTGTATTTAGTTCTTTTGTAGCTCCGAGTATAGACAACATGGAAGTAGCTTTGGAACTTGAAGATGATTTGTTCTTCGCTGATTTAAGCAGACAGCTGTCTCTTCTTCTCATGGATGACAACGAAGACCCTCTCCCTCATCATCCTCATGTTTCTCTTCAGGTACTTCCTTTTTCCAAATTTCATTCATTTGGGTATGCTTTTTTAGTCTCTCTGTTTGTGGCTGTGAATTCAAACAAGCTCGATCAATCTGCAGGCTCTCGCTCATGGAGGCCACCAGCCTGCACGGCCACTGGCGGTGCATGACCAAGCTGCCGCTGCTATTGTCGTTGCCTACAGTGGCGTAAGCAAAGGCACCGGCGTGTTCATCCCTCGGTCTTTGCAGCCTGCAAGAAAACAGAGGCGTGGAAGATACAACAACATAAAGGCAAACCGACAGTTTCCAATCGCTATTGATGTGAATTCACAAGTATCCAACAACAATTCGTTGCGTCCCAAAAAGGGTCAAGGATTCGAGGAATTTGAGGAAAAGGGTATCAGAATTTAGATTAAAAAAATAATTCTTTCACCAAGTATTTAAGTATGGTGATGCCTGTACATGGAAGAAGCTATAGTATTAGCTCTATTAATTACTGGGTTTTCATTGGTTTATGTGTTCCATTGGAAGGTTAATTAATTAACCTAAGGTTTGTGAACCTCCTCCCTCCTTGTGTTCTTCTTCATGAGAGAAAGAGTTCGTTTGTTAGGATCGTCAATCCGAACATAACTCAAAGTACGAAATACTCGAATCTCGACTGCAAAAGCTGAGATGAGTCTGAATTTGTGTTGTAATATGCTCTTAACTGGCAGCCATGCAGTGGCACATGAGCCGTCATGTTTGGATAGCTGGATCTCTGTTGCAAGGAAAGCTAAAGTTTTCTAAAAACATATTCACAGAGAGACAGAGGAGAGAGAAGGATTCGGAGGCTTTAACTTGATGTTTGACTAGATCTCGTATTTTAACTGGTTGAATCAAGTTCTGATTAAATTATAGGATTATTAATTGGTCGTATTAAGCAAAGATTTTTGAGATGATTAAAAACTTGAGAACCTAGATGGACAAAACCCATAATTAAAATTAAAATAAAGGCAAATTATTTTCTAATTTTGGTGATTTTTTTTTTTTTTTTTTTTTTTTTTAGCTAAT